TTGCCTTTATCATTAGTTTTTCATTTTGCTCTTATAACATGATATATAACAGTTTTCATAATGTTAATTACCTAGTTAAATTAGTGGAAGGCTAGTAAAATATAGTAGAATAAAATTTTTGCTTTACTGCAACCCTGCATTTTGCTCTCCAGTATTAATCTAAATTTAAAGAGAATTTTATGAGAGCATTTAATTTTCCGCACCTGTAAATTGGTCTCCTGCCTGTTGGAGTCACAGTTTCCATATTCTTTATTGTCGTATCTACTCAAGATTAAGTGGTTGAATGGAGCCATTCTTGGGGATAATGGGGCTTACTGATTTCTTTTCATGACAGAGCCTTGAATTCAGGAAGAGGGTTGTTTTTTTCAAATTGTTCTGGCAATATAGTAGCTGACAAATTGATAGTTACAATTAGAGTTAATTGGTGAATTTGACTAAATAATGTCTTTCAAAGTTCTTTTATAGTTTGAGCTGCTTCTCAATCCATCAATAAGCTGGTTTTGCGTCTGCTGTGAAAGGCTTCCAGTAAATTTCATCTTTGTTTTTTTACTTATTGAATAACAGTGCCACTGTTTATTTTGTTCTATATTTATCTTGGGTAAAACTCTTCTTGATCTAGATCTGTGTGCCTATACTTCATAGTTGGTAGATCTATAGCCACAAAAGCAAACGATGTTGACTAGATTTCTTGCCATTGTATTCTCCCCTTCTCTGTCCATGTTATCCTTTCAACTGAAAGATGTAATGGTAACCTTATTTACTCGTCGTAAAATTACTTGCCAAGCCTTTTACTTACAATAAAAGATAGGATCTATATTACAAATAAAGGTAGGACCGTAGTTTTATAGAAGCCTCTACCTTCTGGGAAGCCACCTAAGAGATTTATTTACTTACTAGTATTGGTTAATATGCTTTGATTTAGAAGTAATCCACAGGATCGCTTATCTTTAATTGCTGTTATCATCCTTCACTTGTTATCATCTGTGTGCCTGCAGCCTGCACTGTTAATATAACTGTGGTTCATAACGGGAAGCAGGATGAAAGGGCGTCAACTAAATTTTCATTATAATGGTTTTCAACCGTAGTTTTACTTTTCCTTTTGGCTCTTTAATTTTTTTCGCTCCTTCAAATATATCATTAGAGTGCTTGTTCTTTTCTTCAACTAAGGGTAGGTTTTCAAATTCATTACAAGTTACAGTTTCTCTGTAACAAATTGTCCCAATTAATGCATAGGTTTTCAAATTCATTAGGGGATCAAATTGAAGTCATTATTCTCTGAAACAATTTGTCTATTACCTGTCTGGGTGCTCTTATATCTTCTGTAAATACACTCCCAATGTCTTGTACCTTGAACCTTTTTCTGGATCTCTGTCGAAATTGAACGATAAATTTCATGACAGGGAGGAGCAGTCAGAGATAGATGTTGCAGGGGGTTTCTATGTATTGTTTGGATCAGGTAAAATTTATCATTGATTTGTTTCCTGGTAAATGAGTGGAGCTACTAATTTCTGACAGAGTTAATTTAATACTTTGATAGGTATTGTTTCATCTAGCATTGTCATGGCTCACACCATAGTTGTAGGATCATTATCTGGCATTATTATGGTTCACATCTTAGGTTACTGGGCTAACATTTGGGTTGTAAATATGCCTGGGGATGCTTGCTTGATGCTCCACTTGGAGCATTACATAAACACATATACAGTTATATATTCAAATGATGGATACATATATTCCATATGGAAATTTCAAATTCACCTACTTGTGCAATATATTCATTTTTATATAGCATGGGTTGGGTGAACAAGGATGTGTATAATTTATTTTTTTTATTGAATCTTTATATTTATACTCAGAAATATATCTTGAAGTACTCAAAAAATTATTAAAAACAAGAATAAATTCTCAAGACATTATGTGTCAGCTAAATACACTGCCTATTTGTTTATTAGGAAGTGCCTTATTTGTTTAATTCCTAGTCGTGCCCTATTTTTTAAAAATTTATTTTATGATTAGTTTTTGTTAGCTTGTCTGGTTCGTAAAGACACTTGACCTCAATTATTTAAATAAGTTATCACTAGTATTAAATCATAAACCAAATATTAAGTCACCGGGTATGGTCTCGAAACCTTCAATAAGAGCCGTCAGAGATAAACTAATCCTGCCACTTCACAAAATTTTATCAAAAGAGGTCTTTCAAACTCTCAAAATATGATGCTTAATAGATAAAAGAATTAGCCAACCTCAATTATAACCACATTAGGACTCTTAGGTACCAGATAGATTCAAAAAGGACTCAACTCCCCCAAATAGCTAGCAAATCAAGGACAAATTTGTCAATAAATAATTCTAGAGTAATCCTATTGTAACATAGAAGCCTATTGGAAATTTATTATGTATAATTGGTCATTTGTGGTTTCCTTGAAAATAAAATCAAAGGAATGCCATTTGGGTTATTGTCTCTCTTGCACCTAACTCCTCATAAGGTGGTGTATAGCCCAACTGTTTTGTGGCAATTCTCCTTTTCAATAGTAAAGTTTAAGGTATAATATCTGGATATTTGTAAACTTTCTGTTGTTTTTCATGTCAAATATATATAAGATATACAACTGAAAGCTATAGTTTTGTTCTTTAAATAGAAATTGTAATTGTCAACTCGTGAAATTGACTAGTGAACCAAATAGCAGGGTTTGCCGTACCGAGCCGGTACGGGCGGTACGTACCGGTCCGACAAGTTGTCGGTACGCGGACCGCCCTGTACCGGTCCGCACTGTAGCAGTGCTACAGTAACACTGTAGCGCACTGTAGCAGTGCTACAGTGCTCGGTACACCTCGGTATACCGGTCGGTACACCCGTACCGTACCGTACCGAGCATGAGTCGAAACGCCGGTACGGTACGGTACGGCGAACCTTGCCAAATAGTGCTTTCTTATTTTGTCTTTCTTCCTCTGCTATTTCATTTCATGAGCACTATGTCTTATGGCTATCCTTTGTCTTTGTCCCTTCATCTTACAAGTATTATTTTGTCCCCTGATAAAGTAGTAAACTACATTACTTTTATTTTTTCCCCTGAATGCTTTAATGTACTCCAGATATCTTGTTCATACTCTTATAAGTTTAAATGTTTCACCTTTTACCGTGCTATAGCAACTAAGTTCCTCAAACAGTTAAGTAGCTTATTATATTCACAACAAACGATATGTAAATAAAAAGGATAGTCCAGTACACAAGGCTCATACCAATGTGAGATTTGGAGAATGTTAATCTACTCAGCCTTACCTTTGCCAGCATACTCTTTTTTGCGACTCAAACATGATCACCTGGATCACAAAGGAGTAACCTTGTTATGAAACCCAGGTGTACCCTCTTAAAAAAATCATGTGTGTGCATGATATGTTAAATTTACATTTTAAAGTAGAAATAAGCATAAATTGTAACTGGGCTATCAAATATTACTCCGAAATAAGATTTAGAAGTACTGTAAATGCCGCAAGGTTTATAAAGAACGTTACATTGTAGTTCTGACTTGGTCATGTTTGTGGATATGTGACTGCAGGTCTAGCTGTCTCCTTTATTCTGGCAATTTATGTTTTGCAATCATCTAAAGAGAAACTAACAAGGTTATGTTCCCCTTTTCTTATTCTAGTATTTTGTCCTTGCATGATACAATTTCCTCTCTTGTTTTACTTTATCTATCAAGGGAAAAAAAATGGATCGAGGAGTGCTATTTATAGAGCAGATGAAGCAGCACTTTTTCACATTCACCTGCGTGCATGATAAATTTTCAATTAATGGTATGCATATCTGAAGTAGTACACATTTCCAGGTTCGTGAGGGAGAATGTTGCAGAAACCAGTATGCCTGGAGGAGTAGCAAAGGTTGAATGATATGCTTCTGTAGGTTGATGCCAATGTTTACTTTTTGCTCAACACTCAGAAACTATATATAGCACACCAGAAAACCAAGAGGTAGGATTTCCTGTTGGAAGTGTTGCCGTCCTGGTGAGAGGCACAACCATATTGGAGATTGCAGTGATTGCTTGCTGTCATTTTGGTATTACTTTTGGATCAATAGTTAATAACACAAGTTATTTTTGCAGAAAACGAATCTCTAAATATGTAAAAATGTGACATTACAATTGCTGAGTAACTAACTTGAAGCTTTTTAATTGTAGCAAGTAATGATGTGAGGTCGTCCAACTTATGATTAGCAAGTAAGGAGATGAACATTGTGGAACCTGGACCAATTTTTGGGAGCTATTTTTCTATTTAAGCTTAGAAATATCTAGCAAGAGGACACGAGTATATGACATTATGATTACGATATTGTTCCGTAGTTGTCCAAGAGCATGTGCAATTTAACGTAACCATGTCTTGGTGTGAGGTTGACTATCCTTTTCGACGAGTGAATATTGTATAACCACATTGCCAAAGTTCTCTTCTATCATTCAAAATCACTTTTATACCAACAAAGGATTACTGATTTCAATTTGTACCACATCGAAAATTTTCCTATATATATATATATATATATGATCAATCAAATCGATCACCTTTAGAATTCATAACCTACTTATTTGTGTTGGATTTTGATCTTACACGTAGGTCATCTTCAGGTGTACGTCAAACAAGCGCTGCTCCATCATTTCGGATCAATCGGATCTTACCTGGATCGGGTCAACGAGTCAGATCTAACTCTTGACATATCGGTGTGTCGGATTGGGTTCCAATTAAGCATGAGCTACAAGTCAAATTACTTCGACCCAACTTTGTTCTCAATCTAATCAGGTTCATTATGGCTCGAGTCCGGCTCACATTGCAACCGAATTCCAGCCGATTGTAGCCGTCAGATGTGGGGGTGTTGCCCTGTTCTTGCTTCCTAACGATCGTGACCGTCGATTTTGTCTAATCAGCAACTGATGGTTGCGATCATCTGGAAGAATGGACATGACACCTATTTACCACAAAGCCACCCTCATCCATCGGCTCGGCTCCTCCATCAGTCCATTGCAACCTCGTGTCTCCTCTCCCGCCATGGCGGCCATCCCCGCCTTCTCCCTTTGTTCCCCTCTTCCCCTCTCCCCCAGGCCTAGAAAAGCACCAATCGCGCCCCGTCGGCCGACGGCCCTCGCCAACACCTTGGAGGCTGAGCGCGGCGTCCAGTTCGAGACGGGCGACTCCTTCTTCCGCCGTGAGAGCGCCGTCGGCCGCGACCTCGGCGTCCTCTCTGCCGCCCTCCATAGGCGCTCTCTCCCTCCTGGCGGCGGCCTCCGTGTCCTCGACGCCATGTGCGGCTGCGGCGTCCGCTCCCTCCGCTACCTCGCCCAGGCCGGTGCCGCCTTCGTCTGGGCCAACGACGCGTCCGAGGGCTGCCGCCCCCTCATCCTCTCCAACCTCTCCGGCCACCCCCGGGTCTCGCCCCAGGGCGACCGCAGCTGGGTCGTCACCCACCTCGACGCCAACAGGGTGCTCGCGGAGAACTACCTCCGCAAGGAGTTCTTCGATCTCGTGGACGTCGATTGCTTCGGGAGCGACTCCTCCTTCATGAGACTGGCAATTTCCACTATCAGGAAGGGAGGATTGCTGTACGTCACCTCCACCGATGGGTATTCGTCGGGAGGGCATCGCCCTCATTGGTAAGTAGAATGTGTTACCACCAGTCGATCTTCTTTTGCTTCCTCACAACCTTTGATCTGTTTGTGTAGGTTATTGTTTGGAGACCTGCATACCTGTTGTTTTGTTCGAGTTTATTACCAGTAGCAGAAAATGGTAGACAATCACCGAAATTTTTTACCGACATACGTGTGGTATTTAATTTAATATGTTTGAGTTAGAAATCATCTGCACTTTACTTTGTTTCTTTTCCTTGAAAAGAGAAGAACTTTTTTTTCCTTGAAAGTTTAGGAAACTGAATTTTTCTTCCCAGAAAAGAGTAAATGCAAATGTTCCACTTAGTTATGTGTGTGACATTGAGTTTGATACCAAAGAGCATGTTGTCTGTTCCATTACATGGTTGACTTTTGCTATTTTATAGTTGAACCGTGTTTAGGTTTATTCATTTTTCTTTAGACCCCGGTTACGTATGATAAGAATTTGTTGTACATGCTTTGTGTGGTGTTCTTTAGATGTTGGTGTTCATGAATGTGCTACTTTAGACCCTGGTTACGTATGATAAGAATTTGTTGTACATGCTTTGTGTGGTGTTCTTCAGATGTTGGTGTTCATGAATATGCTAGCATGGTTTGCTTTGTTAAAAATGTGGAAATGCCCTCAGTTGTTTGAATGTCCTAAGAGATAATTTATTTAGATGTTAAGTTGACTAAGTTTGCTAGACCTGATATAATATTTTAAACTTGATTGTGAATTATGTTATGGCCAGTTTGTATTCTTTTCCCTTTTGTGAAGAATCATTATGCTGTTGTACTTTTACCTCATTGTTTACCACTTCTTTGTGATGCGTGTATAAGTGAGTGAGTGTGAGATTTGGGTAAAACAACCTATAAGATATAATTGGTGACAGATGTCTTTTGATGAGAACATACATTAGTAATCAATTTGTGATTTTTTTTTTCTTTCAAATATCTGCAAAATATGATCCTTGACATAATAGCAAACACCTAATTTTTATGGTTTTAGCACCTCATAGTTTGACCTAATATTTGTGGCTTTTTAAGTTTATATTTGCATGTATGTGGATGCATTATCATTACCTTAGGTTATTTCAAGGCCTCTGACAATTCAATTGATTTTCCTTTACTAATCGCAGTGTCATCAGATTTGTCCATGCAAATACCTTATATTTTCAGTTTTTTACACCAAGTATGCCCTAAATTTATCAACTATTTTGTATGAATTTAATCAATATTACTAACAAAAGAAACTAACAGAGATCCACCTTTGCTTATGTGGCCCATGATGTATATATTATTCTATTCATGAATTTTGAACAATAAGGAAATCCCCTTTCTTTTTCTGCAAATCATTTTGAGATAAGTAAGTTTATTGGTAGCCATCTTTTAATTGTTATACAATGTACTGACTTGACAATTCATTGATGATACCTTGATTGCTATGTCGGGATCTCCTGTGATATGTAATATTATTTTGCCTCTAGTTCTTTGGCTTCATACGGAGCATATGTTCGCCCAATGCCATTTTCGAATGAGGTTGGTTTACGGATGCTTATAGGTGGTGCTTTACGGGAAGCAGCTGCTTTGGGCTATCATATATCACCACTTTTCTCTTTTTATTCATATCATGGACCTGTATTCCGAGTAATGTTGCAAGTGGATCGCGGACAGCTCCATGAAAATAGGTGAAATAATGCATTGAAGTTACTTTCTCTTCTGAATTTTGGATTCTAATGTATGATATGCTTGATATCTAGCAGCCGTTATGGTTTCATAAGCTACTGCCATGGTTGCGGAAATTCTCAAACATTTTCTTGGGAAGAACTTGGCCAAATTTCATGTGCATGCAGAAAAGGCGAGGTACACAATTCTGTCATCAGAAAATATTATAGTAAATCAATACAACATTGCATGTAATTTGGAAGGAGAATAAGTTGCAACAAAAACTAGTTCATATAAGTTAATAGTTAATTATTGGTGTCTATATGAACCCAAAAATGAGCGATCTTGCTTTTAATTTTCTTGATAGAATACTTAAATATCTTTGTTTTCAAGATACCATTCAGTTGGTCATATTCGGTGAACTTTGTTTTAAAGCCAGTGATTGAGTTTTGACATGACTGATAACCATTCAATTGCTCATATCGAGTGAGTCTATAAGCCATTATCAAGGTCTTTAAGATGATTTATGTCAACTTTTTGAATCCATTTTGTGATCTGTCCACAGCGTGTATGAGATCAAAAAGTTGAATGCCGAAACAGATGGTTCTTAGAGGGGCTTTGTTCTCGCTTGATATTAACCTTTTTTTTTTGTGGTCAAGGAAGGTTTTAGTTTCGAATGCATTAACGAATTAGCCTCTGATGTGCTCTTCTTTTCTTTCTTCAGATTTCCAAATCTGTTGTTGTCTCAGGCCCTCTCTGGACTGGTCCTCTCCATGATGTAACTCATGTGACTGACATGTTACAATTAGCTACGGAGTGGGGATGGGCGTGCACTAACCGGAACGAGGTTGATTTGGAGAAACTTCTAAACCAAATGATAGAGGAAGGGGACCCTCGACTACCTCCTGGATACATCAAACTTGACGAGGTCTAGAATAATATTAACATTTTTATTCTCCTCTTCATTGATCTAAGAAAAGTGCCTTCTGCTTTTATAAGCTTTCGATTTTTATATTTTCCACTCGTACTCTTCCACCGTGGATTTACAGATTGCTAGCCGAGGGAAAATGAATTCTCCTCCTCTTAGTACCTTGATTAACACACTACAAGAGGTATGTGACTTAGTCCAGTTGTGCAATTCATATAGTTCAATTATTGTGGTTGGGGAGATAAACTCACTTCCTTTTTGCACTCAATATCCCCTGGTGGTTTCACTACTTCACCTGCCTGCTTTTCTCAGCTTATCAGGCTTTGACAATATGTTTTGTCTGTGGGTCTGTGAACAACGCTTGTTTTGTTTTGGGTTTGAGTTTTATAAAACTGTTTGATGTTCCACGTTTTCGTTCAGGTTGTTCTTCTCATGATAGTTTTCCTAATCTTGAATGTTGGATAAGCAGGAAGGTTATGTGGCTTCGAGGTCCCATATCGCGCCCAATGCAATCAAGACGAATTGCCCGATCGCTGAATGTATTCAGTTTGCTCGCAGACTTCGATGCAGCACGAGCAACAGAAGGTAGACTAATTTGCTGCTGGAAAGTGGAGACCACCCCATTCTGAGCAGTCTCAAACAATTCGCTACATTTTTTATGCCAGGCCTCATACAACAAAATGGATCATGTAATGCATTGAATCTCTCCTGAAAGGTATATCTGTTTTAAAGAGCCAAAAATTTGTCATTGCCAACAGATCAATCGAAAGACCTATAGCATTAAAAGTTGCAGCTGAAATTAATAGTGAAATGAACTGAAAAAACATTGAGAGGTCATGTTCACTAGTCCAGATGACCTTAACACAAACAAACACAAGACTCCCACAGAGCATGCAGAAACAAGGTTCATAATTTTGTGTTCAAGGTCAGAGCTTGGATCGGTATTGGCATTGTATCTATTTGGATGGATGATGTACCGAGTGCCGATATGCTGGTATGTACCAAGTTTTAAATACAACGTAGAAGAATCCAAGAAAACAATAGATAGGAAATTGTCTAGTGTTGAATCAGTATCAATATGTATTGTGCCATATGGGTCTGTATCAGGTGTGTTAATATCAGCGTACTGGATGGTAGCCTTAAAATTGGTTTCTGTTTCGGTTCTATAGATAATTGAATTGAAATATGTTCCAAATTAGAACTGTTTATTTAAGAATTTTTTTTATTTTTAATTAATGTTTAATGCTTTTTTTTTAATAAGATCAGAATCAAATTGAAATTGTCGATTTCGGTTCCAAGGGTGGAATTGAGCTGTTAACATTGTCGATTCAATCTGAACGATGCTCATCCCTACTAGAGACAGTATCACTGAGCTGTTGATTTGGAGCTGGTGGAATCAATCCGAACGATGCTCATCCCTACTAGAGACAGTATCACTGAGCTGTTAACATTGTGGAATCAATCCGACCGATGCTCATCCCTGCTAGAGACAGTATCACTGAGCTGTTGATTTGGAGCTGTTAACATTGTCGAATCAATCCGAATGATGCTCATCCCTACTAGAGACAGTATCACTGAGCTGTTGATTTGGAGCTGTTAACATTGTGGAATCAATCCAAACGATGCTCATCACTACTAGAGACAGTATCACTGAGCGTATACTGTCCGGACAGATCGACTCGGCGAATACTGCCCACCTTATACGTAAAACATTCGATAGTTTCGAGCTATTGAGAGTTACATAATTTGTTCATTTTACATGTCAGACCGACCCACACATTTCGAACATTACATCACGGGAAACAGATCGTCGCTACACATTGCAGGGATTTGACGTGATATGCACAAATCCGAGAGCTTGACGAAAGGAACAAAAGAAAATAAATAATACACTCCTGGGATTTTGAACGAACAAATTCGGATTAGTAGAATGAATGGAATAAAAAAATGGAGCATGGCATTAGATGCAGCAGAATCATGTCAGGCTAAATAGATATCTTAAATGTGGTGCTTTTTGGCTGGAATTGTTAGAAGGTACTGCTGCTTTCACTGACGGAAACGGTGGAACTCTCTGATTTCACCATATGGGCACCGTTGTTGATATCCAATCCCTGAAGCCTTCCAAGAGGATGTTGCTGCATCACTTGGGGAAGGTCATTGGGGTGACTAATCATGTGTTGGTTTAAGAGACCAGGCTGCAAATGCTGGAACTGGGGCTGAAACTGGATTGCTTGAAGGTGGATCGGCTGTTGCTGTGGAAGTGTGAAGAACGATGAGCTATACAGTGCGCTATGCTGTCCAATGTTGCAAGATTCATCAGGTTTTGATACTTCACCCGTCGCAATCTTTAGTCTTTGGACTTCCTGCTTTAGTGCCTCACTCAGCGCTGCAAGAATGTAGAAGTGTTCATCATCAAGTATGCTCTATTCTCAAAAACGTGCTAATAAATTGCATATGGTTCCTGATGTTGCTTTCGTTCAACATATCTAACTCAATTTCATCCAAGGAAACAAAGGAGAACTGCCCATTTTGACTGACATATCCTCGGTTTACTACAGAAGGTAATGTAAGTGACAGAAACTCTAGCAAGCACAAGTAGATACCTCTGCAATAACCATAGTATAAAGCTAACCATAGTGTGCTACAGTAGATATGACAACAAAGACAGTAATCATATTTTCAGCTACTGAGTAATAAAGACATGATAAGTCTACCATTGCATTTAAGACAAATAAATAATTGAAGTGCTCACCATCACGTAATTGTGCTTGTAGTTCCATTGCTTGTAACTGTAGCTTAAGCTCAGTGTTTTCTGCAGAGAGTCCAGCCGTGTCTCTCTGAAAAACGAAAGCAACCGGGAAGGTTCACATTTACAACTAGCATCAGAATTAAATAACTCTCAAGGACGAAACGTGGGATCATCAGTAATGAAGCATATAATACTTTCAGGAGTCACCCTAAATAGATTAATGATAATTTTTAAAGTACAATTATGCATCATAATTTACAAGAATGTCATCAAAACAAGGATTTGATGTGATAAACTCCAACTCGAGATGAAAAGCATAAATTTAAACACCATTAGTCTTTATAACTACTATAGCGTCAAACATCAAGGTGAAAGAATACAGCTGTGGCAGGGCAGAAAAGTGGTTCAGATATCTGACGGTCAGATTAAGGCATGATCTAATAGAATACCATCAAGTTTGATGGTTGTTTGAATTAAAAAATAACAGCTTATTTCCGTAAGATATGAACATAGAAAATCGAGTTGCTACCAGACAGGACAGCTGGAACACATCATACCGCTAAGGACAAAAAAGTGGCAAGATGAAAAAGGTCATTGTCTACTAGTACAGATCTCGAAAGGGGAGAAAGAAACTTCTCACTCGACCAAAGGAAAATTAATTCATTCATCAATTACCACCAGAGTCTAATTTCTCTGAGACTTATAATGCTCCTTTAAATAGGCTGAACATCTCTTTCTAAACCACAGTTGGGTACCTAGAGACAAATGAAGACAAAAAAATCTGATTAGTACAGACCTGAAGTAGAGTAAGTTGTGCAGAGAGAGTTGTAGCTTCAGTTTGGAGGGTCTTAACTTTCCTCTCAAGTTCTGATATATAATAAGCCTTTCTTTCTTTGGATCGAGCTGCAGATTGCCGATTAGCTAGAATTCTGCATAGATGGCATAGCAAATTACACAGAAATTTCCAAAACCATGCAACATAAAATTGAAAATAATACAAAGCTTAAAGAATACCATGATTTACATGAGAAGCTTCCCTGATGTTGACTAAAAAGTTGGAACTGAATAGTGTTACTGGTAAACTGATAACTTTAAGTGAATATTTTTTGGTAAAAAAGTTCATGTATGCGGTCGCAGAGATATCAAATGATCTAACTTAGAAACAAGGTCTCAAATCTCGATCGTACTTGTCGATGCGGACTGGTATTTAACCGTCCAAGCAAGTGTCATTACCAAAACATATAGCTCAACACCGAAACAGTACCGGTCGTTTTTATTTTGTATTTTTATATATAATTACACCGAGTAGTACATGTTGGTATACATACAGCTATGAATGCCATTATTGTGCCAATTCAGTAGGTTATAAACTTGTATTAAACTGAGATTTAAAGACTTAGAAGACGAATTACGACTTGGATGCTTATTTGAATAATCTGACAATGCAGCATATATTATAATAATTTGAAAAGCAAAGCAAATGCTTCTTTCTAGAATCGATTATGCATGACTTTTCTTAATTTCTTGCCCTTACAATCATATCTGATGCAACTCTTATCTTAATTAATTCTAAATAAGCAAATATTATGTTATTAATTAAACATGCCCATATAGCAAGTACTTGAATGGGTAGATGCAGAAGAATATCTAATGAAAAAGGGCAGGCATAAAAAATTAGAGACAGCCAGTTGCAGTGGCAACACATTGCTCATTATTTTTCGCAAGGGACTACGTCAGAGGCATCCAGTAGTGGCAGCAAAATTTTGCTCATAATTTTTGCAAAGGACCACCCCTAAGTATGTATGTCCATTTTGTTTTGGTATGTGTTGCTGTCTTGCAGTCATAGTCAGAAAGGGAAAACAAAAGTAGGACAATGACAAAGTGGTCCACAACTTAATTTAGCTCTGCAAGAGCCACATCGATAAGAACATAATACAACACAGCTCTATCATTAATAAACTCCCAAGTTTATGTCAAAACAGCATGAATCAATGTCAAAATCACATGAGATTCCAACATTAACCGCTGCAAAGATAGGAAAAAGTTATCAAGTTTAAATCTGAAACACAAAAGAAGTGGAGTTACATATGGGTTAGATCTCATTCAATCCTAAAGGTTGTGTGCATCTGTTGAATCATATAGAACTGCACACACAAACAATCTGGGTTGCGAGAGAATATTGCCTGTACTAAACAACTCGATCCTGCAAGACATACGTTCTAGCAATAAATGTCGTTTGATTCTAGGAAACATGATCTTGGATGATCCAGCAATGGAGGATGCCTATAGTAAAGAACAAAGCTATATTCTAATAAAAATAGGTTGGGCCATTAGATCATCCACCTTTGTCAAAAGCCAACCATCCTATTAGCCAATAACTAGTACAATCTTTACGATGTAAAAGGAGTCTAATACCTCCAACACCTGTATTTTATTTCATTACTTTTATCAAACCAAATTAACTTTTGGTTAGCATCGCCCAGCCCACAATTGTGTTTCTTTTGACTTTTGGTCAAACTTTAAAAGATCATATAAACAGAAAGCAAAGAATCTAGGCTTAAGATGATCTATGCATCAGGTAAGAGGTATGCATGGCCATGCAATATCATTGACAACCGAGACCCAAATCGTGGGTTGGGTCAAAGAAAAACTGAACTTGTTAGTTCATTTCAATGACTTTTGGGTCAAAGAAAAATTAAATCTGAATACAAAGTACTCGTCTCAAATCTTGTCCAATTTGCTTTTAGGGTGCCTATTAAACATCGAACAAGGTCAATAACCAATTATAAACAGAACTTCTGGCATGGTGAACTATTACCTGAGCTCTCGAATCATTTCTAAGATCCCAAATTTTCATTTTTATGGTCAAATTGTAAGGAAGAATTTTCCATCACTCGAATGCTTGATTCACTTATCACCTTACAAACTGCACATTTGCAGAGAAGGAACTGAGCACTTTCAAACACAATCCTACCTTACGCCTCACTGCAAATGCCAACTAAATATTCAAAAGTAATAGTTCTTTTCTTTGTAGTACTTCATAGAAGACAACATGATATCAATCGAATCAAGAATGCTGATGGAAGTTCAAAGAGTCAACAATTAAGGTCAAACTAAACCAAGCAAAATGCCAATAATACTGCAGAGGATTCACCTTTTGGCCCGCTTAGGGTCAATGACGGCCAGCTCCGCAAGCTGCTCCGGCGTCATCGCCTTCTTTGTTTCCATCACCTCTCCCGACAACCCTTCCCTCCTCATCGTCGCCGAAGACGTCATTGACGACCCGTCCACCGAAACGCTATGTCGATGCCTGGGCTTCGCCTCCTCGGCGCACCCAGAGCTCTCCGCCGTCCGATCCGTGCAGTCCCCGTCGCCCTCCGACCCGGATCCGCTCGCCTCGAGCTTGCACCCGATCTTGTCGATGTCCATGAAAGTGCAGAAGAGGTCGTCCTCGGAGCCGATCTCGTCGACCGGAACGGCGCCGCGGAGGTCGAGGTCGTCCGGAAGGCGGAATGCGAGTTCAGATCTGGCCCGGCGGTGGTGGGGAACGGGGAACATGGATGGGGGAGCTCCGGCGGCCTCCGCCGGAAGCGGCCCCGGTGCTACCGGGGACTCATTGGAGGGGAGATTGCGGTGGTCGGGGATAGGGTTGGGAGAGGGTGGCGGATCGGGGCCCCTCGTTTGCATCTCCGGCTTCCTCTTCATCCCGCACTCCCATGAGCACGAACCAAAAGAAATGCTCCGATGATGGATGGAGAGAGAGAGAGAGAGGATTTGTCATTACGCGAGTTGCTAGAAACAAATCTTGTGGTTTTGGAAAGTGTTTTCTTGTTTCTCGAATTTGTTTTTGCTGCTTTCGAAACCAAATTTTAGAATCAAAGATGGGAAATATTTCCGGCAACATCTTGGAAGGGCGGTGCGGCTTCCATCACCCGTGTAACCTTTCCGTGGTGATGTGGTCAAAGAGACCGATCATTGAGAAAATGATTATGAAGATATTAAAATATATATATATATGCATATATTATATCAATTACAAAAAGTTGTGTATGATAAAATTCATATATATATATTTTTCTAAAAATATCATCTAACTTAATCAATAAATAATTTTATCTTTAATAATAATAAGAATAAGGTCTTGAATATCATCTACACTAATTATTATTAAAAACAATAACTTGAAACAATTTTAATTTAATACTATTTTTACCGCACTCTTAGTAGAACAAATGCACGATATCATGTTGCGGGAAAGAATCAATGTGATGCACAAGACGAGTCAACAACAGATCTGAGACCTCAACCTCCATGACGCTTTGAGTTCTCCTGCCATCAAAGGGGAAACCCATGAGGACTGGGTGAGCGCATGAAGCTCACAACGGAGGAGTCATGGCTGATGCCGAAGCGGCCGGGAGTAGCAGCAGCTGGCGGCCTCGGCGTCGCGGCCACAGAAGGGCTTCCTGATCTCGACGCGTGCAGTAGTCTCGGGCCCACCGCCGACACCGCCTGGCTCCGATATCGCCTCTCGCCGCTCCTCCTCGGCCCCTTCTCCGCCCACTTGAGCTCTTGGAGCTTCACTCTGCTCGGGTATCGCCAGCAACACCATGCATGCCCTGCCCTCTTGATGTACCTGTCCAAGTTTACAGACAAAGACACGGGCTGAAGTAGATCATCTCCGTGAGCAAGATGCTGCAGTGTAGCTGAAGCATTACAGTAAAGATGAGAGGAGAGGAAGAAAGCAGTAGCACAAGGATCTCATTAGCTTGAATGCTTTAGGGTCATACTGATGAGATCTTCATGAGCTGAAGTTAGATAGTGTTGAAGCAATTCTACTTTAATTTTGATAAAATAAAAAAAAAGAATTAATAATTTAATGGTCCAAATGATTGCAATATTAAATCATCCATTAAACCAAATAAGATGATCGAGTGGTCAATTAATTCATCAAAATTCAAACTTGAATAGAAAATTTTTGGAGTTTTCTTTCTCAAATCCAAACAGATTTCTTTACCTTTGGCAGAATCTTCTTCCGAGGCACTCCACACATTTCCTTCCTTCAGACATGTCTCCCATCCCAATGCCGACACAGTCCCTGCAATACACTCTTCCACAAACCTGCAAAAAGCAAAAGAAGGTCTCTGACACAGGCTTCTGCCATTAAACATACGGAGGAGGAGGAGAAGAAGAAGAACCTTATCCTTGTCAAACATGGCTATTTAGTTCTTTCCTCTACTAAATTAATTCATCTGGCAGAGTCAATGCTCAGCCATATGAACTCCAAATACAGAATCAGAAATTTGGAAGACATGATTAGAAATCTCAGTGCTTCTAGATTGCATGGCTTAGAATTCTAATTTGGACCTTTAATGGTTCAAATGACAGAAAAATAGTTATGATTTCAGTTTTTTTTCCCCTTAATGGGACCTTCTATAATCAATATATCGTCTCATTTATTGATTTATCTTTTATAGATGCAATGACAGTGATACAAAAACAATTAAGAGAATATCATAATCTATATTTTTTTATTTAAATCTTTTCCAGACTACGCATTGAGAAAACCAAAGAAATCTGATTAAGATAAACTTATAAAGTTATTTTGATTTAAGTGAAGAAAAATCTGTCTTATCTCTAGCAATATCATCACCTCAGTTCACTAGAGTCAGTGTTAAACAGCAAAATTTTATATATATATATATATATATATATATATATATATATATATATATATAT